TTTTTTTTTAAATCATGAATGGATGCTGAATTTTTTTTATTTTTTAAAGATTTTATTTTTTTGACAGAGAGAGACACAGTGAAAGAGGAAACACAAGCAGGGGGGTGGTAGAGGGAGAACAAGGCTTCCCGCTGAGTGGGGAGCCCAATGTAGGGCTCAATCCCAGGACCCTGGGATCATGACCTGAGCCAAAGGCAGACAGACGCCCAACCGACTGAGCCACCCAGGCACCCCAGGGTACTATTTTCTTATAATTATCTTTAGAACCTATAGTACATTCCCCTAAGTATCTTCAAAGATAAATTTCAGAAAACAATAAGGGGCGCCTAGCTGGCTTAGTAGGTGGAGCATGTGACTTTGATCTCAGAGTTGTGGGTTTAGAGATTATTTAAAAAATAGAATCTTACAAAAAAAAGAAAACAATAGTAAATCGGATTTTTAGAGGAAGGAACTTGCTTTGTGATGCCATTTTTTATCTGAAACTAGTCTACCAAAAAGTGAGACTGCTTTATTATCTCTGGCAATTCAAAAAGAAATTTCTAAGTATGTTCTAAGCAATATGACTATTAATTACCTGTTCTCAGGATGGGAATGTTGAAAGGAACATTTAATTGGATTTGAGTTCTAATGTTTTAAAAAGGGAACAAAAAGTCTCGTATCTTAATAGTCACACCTTATTCTCCATCAGATGACCAAAGCAATCTAATAAATAATAAAGATCAGTATGTTCCTCCAACTCCTTACCCAAAGCACATCACATCAAGAGTCAGAACCCTAGTGCTTCACTTTAAAATTGTTGTCAAAAAAAAATTAGGGGCAGCTGGGTGGCTCAGTCAGTTAAGCATCTCACGGTCATGGGATGGAGCCCCACGTTGGGCTCCACACTCAGCGGGGAGTCAGCTTGAGATTCTCTCCCTCTCTCTCTGCCCCTCCCCCCCACTTGCACACATGCACATGTGCTCTGTGTCTCAAATAAATTTTTACAAATTTAAAAATAATAAAATAATAAAAAGTTAAAATAAAAAAAATAAAATGGTTGTCAAACCAAATCTAACACTTTTCTTTGGTCTGCATTTATATCTCATGCTTCCAAAAATTCATCCTTATAAAAGGATTCTCCTAACTTTAAAACTAACCAACAGGACTTAAAGAGTTCTTCCTTCTACTGTAACATGCTTTCTGAAAATTATTCTCTACATGTGTACTCCAGTTTCTACTTTTCAAAACACTCTCACATCTATAAGACTGACAATGTGACCTCACAAATCTTTCCCCAGTGGTTTTATTTAACCGAATTTCACTTAGAATAATTTTTTTCACTGCAGAAAGAATACTTGTGATCTCAGTTTTTGCGTAATTTTTTAGCTATGTAACTTAACAGGCTACATAATCTTAATTTCTCTTTACCTCTACAAACTGGGGATAATTACTGACACTCTCTCATAATGGCTAAGGATCAATACGAGAATGCAAAAGCATTTCACAAAATGTAAAGCACAATTTAAAAAAATTAAGCTGCTATTATTAAAATTAGTAACAAGAACAAGCTCCACACATCTGAAACTTTAAAAAAACTATAAAAACAAAACAAAACAAAAAGCTATAAAACCTGTAAACTTGTTGGTAAATATTCATCTACCTATGTTAACAAATAAAACATATTTTGAGTATCTAAAATGTGTGGATAGGTTTTGGCACTTTTTAAATATTTTTGTCCCTGAAAAGGTAATACATTAAAAAATGGCTAAAAAATAAAATGGAAATAAAAGTAAGCACTGAAAGTCTCCTTTCATAGCTAGGTTCTTATTTAATCTCAGGTATAAAGCAGAGCTCCAAATATTTTCTTAACATTTAAATCATGTGCTGCAGGGTGCCTGGGTGGCTCTGTAGCTTAAGCATCTGCCTTCGGCTCAGGTCATGATCCCAGGGTCCTGGGATCGAGCCCCGCATCAGACTCCCTGCTCAGCAGGGAGTCTGCTTCTCCCTTTGCCCCTCCCTGCTACTCACACTTGCTCACTTGCTCTCTCTCAAATAAATAAAATCTTTAAAAATAAATAAATCATTTGCATTCATACAGCTAAACAGTAATATTACAAATAACACATCATAAGAATCAAATGACAATGCTGACAATTTCCACATTCTTCCTAACACAGAACTATGAAATTCATCCTTCAAAACTTTTCTGAAAAAAAATGTGTAAAGCTAGGATTTGATGGTGAAATCTATTTAATACCCAAAGTGTTATTTCCACTACCCAACACAATCTCTGTGCTTTTACTGATTCCTTACCCTCCTGATGATTCCGTGTTTTGCTGTCCCTGGTTATTGTAAGACTGCTGGCCATATGAGCTCTGCTTTTGATTCTCATAACCACTGTAGGATTGTGAATAACCTAAAGATTGGATGGATATACCATTTAGTAAATGTTCTGATTTTTTTATTTCTAAAACAGCAAATTAACAAACCAGTCCAACCTGATTGGCTTTGTCCATAGCCGGAGTAGCCGCCATAGTTCTGTCCATATGAGGAATCAGTAGTTTGTCCATAGCCAGAATAGCTCTGAAATTTAGGTAAATACAAGTTTTATCACCCACTTAAGATAAAAATAAATATTTACAAAAAGCACAATTTATATTTTAACCTACTTGTGGTGCCTGTCCATAACCTTGGCTGCCTTGATTTCCATAGGAAGAATAACTGTAAAAGAAAAATGTACTCCTTGAAAGAGATGTGCTAGAATTTTAAAAGCTTAAAAAAAAACCCTATCTTCAACTTTCAAATCCATACAAGCTTCTCTTCTGAGAAATTGCCAATTTGCCTGTTTCTTAGAGTCTAAATTGAAAGGTGATGACCAAAGACTGTTAAGACATAAAGGAAGTCACTCCCAGACCTCTTAAATACCAAACAAGCACCAAAAGTTTAGCTTTGACAATCTCACACAAATAAAACTTGAGTAGAACTAGAAAATCTCAAGAGAATTATACTTGGGTGTGGGGACTGACTACATGGAAGTAAGACCCATAATAAAAATTTGAGACAGAAAAATAATTTTTTAAGTTAGCACTTTAATCAAATTAGCTATGTTTCGACAGATTAATTTCTTCCTACCATCTGCCCTAAATCTGCCTTTAATAATTATATTGTATCCCCGTAACATAGCACAGCCTGGCATATAGTTTGTTGACTGAATAAATGTACCTCCCTCAGATTTGAACCTTAATTTTATAGCATGTAAATTCTAACAAGTCAGAAACAAACTTTCTGAATATATGCCCCCAAAAAAATATTTGCAAAAAAAAAAAAATTATTATTCTAGAGCTATCAAGTGCTAACAGACTTTAACTTTATATATTTCACTGAATAAACATTAGCTAGTTGCCTATTATGAAGTTAGCACTACCGTATGAGAATAGAAAAGTCAAACCAGTTTTGTTTTCATGAAGCTTAAAACCTGAAGACAGACGATACCTGAGATGCTATTCTGAATATCTCACATTGAGCTGCAAACGTTTATAGTGTAAGTTAAAGGCTGTGTTTCTGGCAAGTAAGAGAACCCTACTGCATGTCTTCAGTCACAGAAAAACAGACTTTTCTTTTTATTATAAGCATGGTAAGGAGTGTTTTTAAAATGCTAAGCATTTCTATTATAGTGCTTAAAGAAAATCCGCTCTGAAAAAAAATAGCATATTACATATAATCAAAAATTTAAATGCTTTCTCTAAGAACCTGTTATATAGTTCAATTGTCTAAATCCTTTTAATAGTTTCATTTAAAAAAATTCTTAAAGAAAACATTCTTTAAAATACCTATGAGATTTGTCTTAATCTCTAGGGGGCATCTGTATTTACTGATTCAAGCAGGCTTTTTAAAAAAAAGAAAAAATGTTTCAGTATGTATGTACACAGGCCTTTCCCCCTTGACAAGCTAACATTTAACTCTAAGAAATCCAGATACCAAATCTCAAAAGGAACGCTTGACTCAATTCATCTTTTTTTCCCTCAGTTCTACTCTTACATGGTATCATTAAAATGTATGTATACTTTACCTTTGCTGCTCACCCCCAGACTGACCGTAAGTTCCAGAATCTAAAACACATAAAAAAAATTTTAAATCTTATTTAAAATTATGCTTCCCTCAAAGGCTGACTTTAGCTTTTAAAGATGGAATGCAGTAAGAAAATGTAATAAAAACTACCTACAGAAAAAAAAAACTAGTTAAATTACTGTGCAAGGATTTGTTTACAGTAACTACGTCTTTGAAAAACAACTACTTTACAAATGTGTCCTGATGGTCACAAGAACCAAGTGAACAACCATAAAACAAGCAGTGAAAAATCCATCCTTTTAACAAAGTCAAGTTATCTTTACATACAAAAAGGCATCTATTGAAACTAATCAAGACTAAAAGGGGGGAGGGGGGGAGACATACACTCTGAGAAGATAAACCCCCCAGGATTACAGTGACTTGCAAATCCTCACCAGCCCAACATACACACCATTCCCCTGTACTGGACCGCTCTGGCCATCAGCAGCAACAAACAGATCTCTGAAGACTTTGGTAAAAGCATCTAAGTTAGTTGTTTATCTCCAACTTTACCAAGGTTTCAGAGACTTGGCCAAACGGCATACCAACTTAGCAAGACCTACTTCCAGCTTCCTTTTCGGCAATAAAAACTACCAAGGAAGGCATGAATTAAATAATGTCAAAAAA